ATACTCGGGAATGTCAAAATTCGGGAGGGGGTCAGAGCTCTCGATGTCGAAATTTGTATGAGAACGGTAGCTAGTCACGCTCAAGTTTCAGCAATGTAGTCTACCTCTAGTTTGAATCATTCAACATCACGAAAATACTTGAACAAATCTTTGCATAACTTCGTATTTTGCATTTGTATTTACTTTGTGTTTTGTATAAGGTTATCTGATCCCTCTCTCAGCTCTCATTGTGTTCTTGTTTCGTTGCATTCAGGCACGGTTATTTCACGAAACGCACAACTCGTAGGGACCAGCCGGAGACGCGTTGCATGACCACGAAATCGCGGCCCGCCAAACAGCTCCTTCGCAAGGGGTGAAGAAGCCAAACCGTCGCGCTTGATGCACATGGACCACTATGTTCCACTTTAAGACGAATTTACGATGGAAAAGCAACCCATTCCAAATTGAGATAAGATGGTGAAAGTACCAGAAGAAGCGAAAAACCACGAAAAACGGCCCAGACCGAGAAATGGACCCCTTCCTTTTCCGTCTGACTTTGAGCATTTATGGAACTCTCAATCGCTTTGACCTCTTCAACCCCTACGCTCTCTCAGCTATTCTATCAGCTCGCCCCCACCTCCTTGTCACCTACGGCGAGTGATCAGACGATCGGTTGGGCGAGATCGCCGAACCTCGTCAACTTGAGTCGCTGGCTAGAGCACGCAGATGTCAAATCTTTCGATGCCGATTGCGTGTCTGTCGCCACGCTCTCAAGAGCTTACCGCTCTCCTTCACATAGCGATTTCCTCCCTTCTTCGACCCCTTCGTTCTTTCCGTGCAATCCTTCTAACCCATGCGGACCGCCTGTATAATCGCAGCCTCCTAGCTTGTTAAGTATTCAATCAGTGGCCAATAACCTATCGCAAATTAATCAGTATCCAAATATATAAATCTATCCAGGTCCAAAAAAGTATACTGATGAGTTTGTGACTTAAAAAACGCCGAAAAAATCCGAAGTTGCTATGCTTGTCCGCGTGGTGGACGTGGTCCGCAATGGGTTAAAATGATGGAGTGTCGCCCGCGCGACAAAAAAGCGTCGCTAGCCATCGCGCGGCAATGTTTGTTGTGTTGAGGTAACAATTATTAAGGAGTGCGACGTAGTGGGTTGAGGTTTTTCATCCTTGCTATGCCCAAACCATTGAGGAAACGAGTGCTAGTTATTCGATACACTTTTGTTTTCTATTTATTGTAATAAGACTTTCAGATAAGATAAATGCCCTGACAAGCGTGTATGGCAAAAATTTTATTTTAAAACGGTACCAATATTTTTAAGTTTTTGAGCTACTTGTGATGGAAATTTTGGAGTCTTACGCCACCATCAAATTGTTCTGCCACGTTAGACGTGCAATCCCCCGCTTCCATGCATTGATTTTGCTGCCTCGTGTAACCACGATGCGCTGCTCGACTGACCCAACAGCCAACTTTCAGTAAAGTCACCTTGCTCTAACTATTTTTTTAACAATTTCCAATGGTTTTCATAGGAAACAGGACACTATCTCTGCAAATCATAGGATTAAACAATGAATAACGAAGAATTATCTTTTTTGCTCGCGCTCAAGCACCACCAATGGAGCCGTAAGGAGGCATATAGTGCGACAGCTGCTGCCATCTAAAGAAATTTTAGTTTTTGCAGACAAAGGAATCTCCGGTATCCATGAGCCATCACAGTAACCGAGCTTCCTTCCCTTGCAAAAAAAAATTGGGTAACCTAAGGCTATATGAACTGTCGCACCACATGGCCCTTACACAATGAGACTCCCACACTAAAGCAGATAGTACGTTGTGTAGTTCATTGTGTTCTTTACGCTTCTGCCACATGGGTTCTGAGGGCAAACTTAATTTCGCCCAACGTTTTGAGCTCACGTCGTTGTCAAGGGCCTAAATGTGGCGCAAGGGTTTCCTTTCGGATCACCACTCGACCACATGCCCGAATTATACTGAATACATCAACAATGCTGAGGCACCAAGATGAGAGAGCTTGAAGCCTAATGCGAGTTTTAGTGCATATACCGTAATATGCGGAAGCTTGTGATTGTCTAAAGAGCATCGAAATCTTCAGAAGTAATCAACAACTTTTTGAAAAGCCGTCAGGGCGCTCATCGTTGAGGAGCATTCTGGAGGTTTAGAGAGGGTAGGAGATTCTGTGGGAGAATATGAGCAACTAGTATTTTCCCTTGTGCTTCCTCCCTTTCCTGGGCTAGGTTCCATTTCTTCTACCATCGGCACTGTTTTGAATGCCCATCTTACTCGAAGTCCGTCGTTGGCCAAGAGACCTCAATTTTTTTGAAACTTTGGACTAAGTTGTTGAATTGCTTCTGGACTTATTCAAATTTTCTCAATTTTGAAACCATGTGCCAGCTACGCTATGCTGCATTGATTGAGTAGGAGGTAATCAAGAATTCACTATTTTATGACACTTTAATTCAGTCAAAGGCAGTTCCAAGTCGATGACTCTGCAAGGAAGAGGGATCCGTAACACTTTTTCATGATTAACAAAATTATCGTTTTTGAATGATGAAATCAGGACGATGCAAAATGGCGCGGCTGATCACAGGCTGCACACAAATCAAAGCGAAAATGCCATTTCGATCGTTTCTTTAGCAGTGTATTGAAATAATGAGTCAAGCTGCTTCTAGCACTAAGAAAAATTGCTATAATTTTCAGGTCACATTTGCTTTCGATAGATATTTACCGACCAGAACAAAGTTTACCACCAGATCCGAGTTTGTTGGGAGTAACCTAAACTGAAACAAAAACTGCTGGCTGTAATTTTTTTGTAACCAACTTTCAAAGAAATTTCTCTGTAGGCTCTCATATTTCTTCTTGCCTTTCTTTGCTGCGGAGCGAGAAATTATTGTTCTCCTTTGGAGACCCAGAATCTCACAGACAGGTCCATCTGAGGCATCTGCTTCGTAAAGTGCGCGCTATCAATGTGGGTTCCACTGACCAGAAGCGTTTATTTATTTTCTAGTGTCTAAGTCTGTCGCTTTGTTAAAAAAATTACAGAATGAAATCCCAATAAAAACCATTGGTGAAAAAAAAAGTAGGGAGAACAAAATTGCGTTCGCAAAAAAAACGAAAGTGGACTTATTCGTTGGATTCAAGGGGATCTAACAAATCTACATCGTATTTTCACTCTCTACTGTCTCTGACAATACAGTGAAAATTCCTGTGGGGAGTTGCCACCAAAACGGCGCTGCTGTCGTGCATCGCAAAGATTGTGAAGCACTGGAGCGCAATTTATTCTCATCTGAGCACAATTGGAACGCCGCCACTCTCGCGGCATCTCCCGTCGACCGAAATCCTAAAATCCATAACAGCGGCACACGTCATATTTGGAACCCACACTCCGCGGCTTCTTCTATCGAATTCTTCACTTCCAAGTTTCATCATGAGGAGGCTTTTATCGATACACGTAGCTTGACTGTTTGTGCCGCTGACTTCATTGCTGCTGGTTATTGTTCTCAACAAAATCGTATGAATGGCCCATCGAGCGTTTTTTTTTATCTATTCATATTTTGTGCAGTAATCTTACTCATCTTATGAATGTTACATAACATAAACTTGTTTATGACCGCCCCGTCAAATGCAATTTTTTCTCGTTAGAGAAATTCTTTCGCCTCATAACGACTCTGTTTATTCTCCATCAATTCGCCTTTCCTGTTGTACTTGATGCTCTTTTCGTTGAAAGCCAATATCGAGCTTAACTTCACTAAAGAACTTATCACTGTGAATAGGGATGCTAGGTCTACCATTGCAAATGTTACGCCACCTTTAGGTATCTAAACGGGTCACTAACCAGGAAATGTTTTAATATTCCCATGGAACGAATGAATGGAGGCTAGGATGAATCAGTAGAATCATGAATGCTGGTTACAAATATTGTTACCAAAACTGCTACGTGAACATCCCAAGCAAATCATGGTCAAAGTTGAGAGAAAGGGTGTCGTCAGTGTAGGAGACATCCTAATCCAACCGTATTGGCGTTTTTAGTTTTTCCTGTAACAGTACCTATAGGGATGAACGGATGGCCTGGTCACAAATATGCATTCATATTTGAGAAAGAGGCGATCTCGCTAGTTTGGTGCCGCAACTCACTTCCTTACTACATTTCTTGCCAACCTTGACAGCTCACAACTTTCCTAGAAAGGTCCCGTAGCAGTTTTGGTCTACATATCTGTGAATTGTATTCAAAACTATCCATTTGCCTAGGTCTCCATCCAAAGTTCCATGGGAAGTTGCAAGCATTCCCTGGTAAGTATGATGTTAGGCGCTTACGACTTCAATCCTCTTGCAAAGAGAGTGATCCTTGCCCGCCCACCATTAATCTTAACTATGTCGTGATGACCTGCCCTCTCGGCGACCAGCACTATCTTTTATTTCTGTCTGCTTCTGAGACTTCTCCGCAGCGCAGAGCAACAAACCGTGATTTCTGTGCTTTTGACTGACGATTTCCTTCCCTTTTTTCTCCACTGCAGTCCAATTTTCATCTCTGTTTCGTATTCGAGCGGGATTACCGTACGAATTCATTTCTATCTTGACTTTAGGAAAAATTTTGACACAGTTTAAAGAGCTTCTGTTTAGGCACACCTGCACATGTGATCAGAATTATGATTTATTGGAAGTCGAAAGGATGAAGAAATTACGCTAGGCGAGAATGCTGTCGTGGTGCAAAACTGTTATTCTATGGATAGCAGTTATGACGGAAGCCAAATTTAAGCAATTAGCGAAGGATCTTGAAGGTCAACTCTACGAGGATCTTCTCTTTGACTATAATAAAATCCCACGACCGGTCAGAAATAGCTCAGATATTCTGACCGTTGACGTAGGTGCTTCCCTTATCCGGATAATTGACGTGGTAAGCTAATTTTGGAAGTTTTGCAATACATTGTTTACCCTGAACTCGACAACCATTACAGGACGAGAAGAACCAAGTCTTAACAACGAATTTATGGTTGGAAATGGTATGACATTCTATCCATCTCTGAAGGCAGCGATTACGATAAAGTGGGAGCGTATCGGGGAGGCAGAAGCACTACACGAATCAGTTACTTGGTTGCCAGGAGGGGAGGTGTAGCGCTTTCACGACGAAAAGTCTTTTACATACTGAGCAGGACTATGGAAGCACTCCGCCCCCAAAAGCGCTCCGCCCACTGGTTCACTTGGTGATTTCGACGAGCTGCGTTGCCAGCACTGGCACAACTACAGCAACTCGACGGATCGATGGATTGGCATGCTGTCACTGAACGCCTTGCGCTGAACTCGTTCATATGACCGCTTTCTGAGCTGTTCCCTGTTTATGAGTGCAACCTAATGGCCAAAAAGGAGTCCTGTTTTTCGCTTTCTTGACGGATTTCTCAGCTTCTTTCACCACTGGTGTACCACTGAGCACCACCAGTCTCCTATAAACCCTTCTTGAATCTATCGTAATCACTGCCTTTGAGAACTCAATTTCTGCGGTCATTTCTCCATGAGAAGCAAATTTGTTACAACTATTTCAAGAAATGGTTTGATTCGAAGCTCACGTGGGATCCGGCAAAGTATGGAGGTCTGAGGACCCTACATATACCAAGCGATCTGATTTGGACCCCAGATTTGGTACTATACAATAAGTAAGTTGAGATGCATAACCTCGAATATTATTTACTACAAATAAATATTGACACACTAAAAAAGGGCGGTACACATGACGTTCGTTTTGATTGGCTTATGCCTCCATTTCATATCCCAAAGTTGTGCTTATGCATACGGAAGATAGTACTCCCATGGAACTGGAGGAAATTGAACTCTGTCTACATCACTAAACGACCTTACTGGTCCATAATGTCCACCTGAAAATGAAGGATTTTTTGACTATCCTATGTAGTGCATGTTAAGTAAAAAAGAAGAACTATTATATATGTACAGAAAAGTCAATCAGCCAGAGCTGTTTCTTTTCAGTGCTGCTGGAGATCCAGATATAACGATTCTCACGGACGCCCTGGTAACCCATGACGGGCACGTCTTTTGGCAACCACCTGCTATTTATAAGTCATTTTGCCCGGCAAGTGTAGATAACAATAATGTTTGTGCATTAGTTAATAATATAGATGCAGTTCAGATCGATGTAACATGGTTCCCATATGATTCGCAAAAATGTGAAATGAAGTTTGGTACATGGACATACACTGGTCGATACGTGGACTTGAAACAGTTGCCGAAAGGTATGACCTATTATTTACCATCATTACATATTCTCCTTTTCCCCACAACTGAATGCAAAAATCTAGCGAGGGTATTAAACGGAAGAGCTTTAGTAGGTGTGAAATCTGCTTTGTAAAAGACAAGTGAACTTAGGATGCGAGTCCCGCTGCCCTAATAATCATTCGTTCATCGTATTCAGAAGATGGTTAGGAAGATGGGTGGTGGTGGTAAATTGTTACTGTACTGCGTACCTTAAGGGGATCAGGCTAGATTGTATGCCGTCTGAACTAACCAAGCTTTCCACCCCTCTGGAACCGACTGATTGCTACAAGTATCGCATGATATCTGTATGTTGTATGACATAAAAACACTGATCTGTACATTTGTTGCTTCCTGCAATTCATTGTAAGACCTCAACGTAGTCACGATTCTGAATGAACTTGGAATGCGTGGCGCATCCCAGGAATGGAAATCTCGGACTGAATGCTTCACTTTTTAATCTTTTATTCAGAAGATGTTGTGACAGTTCAAATGGAGGGCAATGATGTGGAATATATGCAGCAAGGGATGGACTTGAGCTTTTTCTACAGGTACTTCCTATATCTTATTTGGTTAATTGATTATCTGTTTTACATGCGTCAGTTGCGCTCAGGAAAGTCCGCTCCTCGAGTAACTCCAAGCAATAGTATAACTAGGCCTCTCAAGATTATCACTACTTGATTAAAGTAAGCAATCACGATAAAGAGCGAGCGCTTTGGATAAGCATATGTGCCACACGAAGTTGTAGAGTGGCTGCGCCATTCCTGAGCAGTTCTTGAAAAGCACTCCACCCACTAGTTTAGTAGATCAATTTCTTGAGCTGTGTTGCGAGCAGCGACACAACTGGCGCATCTCGTCTGGAGCATGGTTTGACATGGTTCCACCGAACGCATTGCATTGAACTCGTTCATATGTCCGCTGTCTGAACCGTTACCTTGAGCGAAAATCAGTGGCCAACCAGAGGTTCCGTTTTGCGTTTTGTTGCTTCGAAAGAATTCTCTGCTTTCTTGCCATTGACATACTATTGAGCGCACACACGTCCCCTCTAAACCCCTATGGCATCTATCGTAATCGCTGACTCTGAAGCAACACTCCCAGCAGGGTTTTTACCTTTGACACTAGTGGTGTGGAACGATGCGCTAGCCCTAGTCAAGAGCATAAAAACTGTGAGTGAACAAAAAATTTGATTTGGAAAGCCGCTGGAAAGGGAGCTGAACGGCTTAGAAGTGGGCATGTTTGGAAGGGGATTGCACCCGACCGAGCAACCACGCCCACTTCGAAGCCGTTCAGCTCTTTCTCGCGGCTTTCCAAGGTGAGTTTTTGTTCAGTCACACTTCTTATGTTCTTGACTATGCTACCGCATCCTTCCACGTCATTAATATTGGAGGTAAATACCTTGCTGGAACTGTTGCTTTAAAAGGGTCGCGTCAGGTATGAGAATTGTTGCTCAAGGTGCCCACATGCGGCGTGCTGATTTCGAACGCAGTAGAACAAAAAATGTAATATCATATAATCTCTTTGAGAATCAAAATCATTGTTGTGTGAAAAACTAATTCCAGATCAGCAGAATGGGACTTACTGGCGCTCAGTTCACAGAGGCATTCCGTATTGTATGCATCGTGTTGCGGGCCAGAAAAATACGTTGACATAACATATTATTTCGGTTTAAGGTGAGTTACCGTTTTATTATTTTCATGAAGGTATCTCTTCAATACTAACCACGTGATTTTTGTTCTTTATTGCAGGAGGAAAACATTGTTTTTCACGTGTAATCTCATCATTCCGTGCTTCCTCATCTCCATCCTCACAACTTTTGTGTTTTATTTGTCGGATCATAAAATAACGTTTTCTATCAGCATATTGGTCACGCTGACTGTGTTCTTCTTGGTAGGTTTTTTTGATAGAGACTAGAACTTCACTTTTGATTATGTTTCACTTCGTTGTTCATGACGTGGTGGGTGAGTTAGTCGTTTGGGCAAGTGAGGCTAAGGTAAGAAGATGAATACTTCTTGCTGATCGGCGCGCCTCTGCTCATCTTTGTACCTCACTGCCAGAACTTGATCAGGGCACTTCCGGAACTGCCATCGTGAAGATTTCGTAATGTTCGCACTCATCGATACGGGATCGTATCACACAACGTTTAGCCTCCAATTTTTCGGAGTTTTAAAAATCACAGAGTGGCATGTGAGCTGTACACGCAATTTTCAAGACCTCTGCGGTTTTGGTTGTGGTGTTTTCCGGTTGATGGTCTTATCTAAATATTTTAGAGGGGGCACTATAAGGACGAAGGAGGAAAGAGGGGAAGCTTACCTGGTGGAGAGACAGGCGGGCCTTCTAAAGGTACAGACCAACACGCAGTTCGCATCAAAGGATATACGTACCTCTGGTCTAGCATGGCTCAGGCGCTATTGGCGCACTATCGGCGCAGTACCTTCCCACCCACACCCTCGCTGTCTAAGCCTCTAGCCGTCCGACAGAGAGAGAGAGAGCGTTAGCGCTGGGGAGGGCAGCACCGATGAGAGTCACATCAGCGCGGAAATCAGCGGGCGAGGAAAGGGTCCTAGTTTTCAGGTTCTAGGCCGTTTTGCTGGTTTCTCCTCCTTTAATGCATTACTGAGTATCCCTAACTTAATTTCCAATGGGCCACCTTTCATCGTGAAACCCGTGTTTAATTGTTGATTACAGGTGCTAATTGATCTCATGCCACCTACTTCTCTGGTTATTCCTATGTTCGGTCGATATTTGATCACGACTATGATTCTTGTTGCGCTTTCTACTGTGGTCTCTGTAATAACAGTGAACTTCCGATTCCGATCTGGATCCGCTCACAAAATGTCACCATGGATTCAAGCGGTCTTCCTCAACTTCCTTCCTAGGTGAGTTTCGATATACTCGAATGAAACAACATCATTAAAATCAACGATATTAACAAAATCATTGGAATGGTGAAGGTAACTGTGATGAAAAAAGAACTTGGTCTTATTTCTGCAAATTGGCTCTGTGATATTTAATATCTCGAAGGGGATTCCACGATAAGGTTGAAGGTCGAAGAAGGGGGAACTTGCCTAGTGGAAAGACAGGCGGACACTCTAAGTGCGGACCTGCACGCAATTCGCAGGGACGGTAGTAAAGTGTCCTAAATGGCCAGTCAATAGTTGGCCAATAGGTCACGCAGTGCTCGCCTTCGTCCCCACCCGCAAAGCATGGGGAAAGGCGCGAAACTTGCGCTGACGTGCCGCAGTGGGCGAGGTCTGGACCGCATCCCAAGTGGCCAATGTCCTAGGTGGCACCTAACGCTAGTCGGCGAACCTGGGCAGAGAAAAGGTAAAGAGCGTGGAGAACGCAGAGATCGCAGTGGGTCATGTAGAGGGCGACCAATATGTACCCCTGAGTACATTTAGTGATCTCTGCAATCCCCATGCACTTTCCCCTTTCTCTGCACGTCATGTAGAGCGTGTTTACATCCCTGCCATGTCGCAGAGCGAAGAGAAGAAGGGTGATTGGTGATAGGTGTTGAGGAAGCCACCGGAGCTATCGATAATATTGATAACTTCCTGCCAATAAGGTGTCCCCAGCTGTCCCCATTGTTCCACTTATTGATTGTGTTACAGCCCCTTCTTTGGTCATGGGAGAATTTCACCTCTAAACAATTAAATGGGAATGGTCTCCACCCTAACACGTCGATTGGCGCAGCAGGTTCGTTCCGTGTGGGCATAGGATCGGTCGCGGGATCAGTTCCATTCGAAACCCAAACTTTTGCAACCCTCTCAGGTTACTACCTTGCATTCTACAATTCTTTCAAAGTGAACCCAACAGTGCTTTGTGGTGCAGTGTCAAGCGTCGCGCTCATGGACGTTGCGTTACAGGGTTCAAGTCCATGGGCGATGTGAGTTTTGCTAGCAACATACTGAAGTTCGCCGTTCACACCAGGGTAATCTCACTATCTTGCCTTTCATTATTCGCCGTTGAAGGCCGTAGTTCACCACCCTTGACTCCGAGTCTATGGCACTTTACTACCGTCCCAGGGAAAAATATGCTCTCGGTAAACTAGTATGACCCTCCCCGCCGCGCTGTCTGCGCGGCACGCCCACCGACTGCTAACTACTTGCTGCAATTCTCTAGCTTTCAAGCAGAGAGAGCGAGCACCGATGAGAGTACCATTAGTGCAGAAATCAAGGGGTTAAGGGAGGGTCCCATTTCTCAGGTTCAGAGCCACTTCTCGTAATTATTTTCTTCATTGCATCACTGACCACTTCTACCTTGATTCCTGCGGGCCGCTTTTTTCTATCGCAAATTCAGTTTCCGAAGCCAAAACTACTAATTGTTGAGACAACCACTAACTAAAAACATCCTTAGTGTTCGGATTAGCCCTTTTTTCCAAACGCACACTTTTTGGTAGAGGCATTTAACTAGCATCCAAAAATAATCAAAAATGTGAGCCTTAAAGGAAGCGATTACGATAAGGAATTGTCGCATCGGGGGAGAACCTCCGCCACACGGAGCAATTACATTGCTGCCAAGGAAGCGATGTGTGGCCCTCCCAGGGGAAAGGTGCTGTGGTTGCTGAGCAGGACTCGTGTGACGCCCCACCCCCAGTGACGTAACGCCCACTAGTTTTGTTGATGATCTGGATGGACTGTTTGCTGTTGGCTTTTCATTTTGGATGATCATTTCCCTTCTAGCGGCTGTATCTTCCAGCTTGCCCACGTATGGCCTTATCAATCAAAACACTATGCTTGTTGGCATGATGGCGGCTATCGGGGTGAACACGTCCGAACAACGTCGTTCTTTCCCGTCGCTCATCCATAGTCAAAAATGGAAGGGCAATCAAAGGGGTACTATTTTGCTCATTCTTGACGGATTTCTTTGATTTTCTCACCATTGGCGTACTATTGACCCTCAGTCCCCTCTAAACCCCTGTGAGATCTATCGTAATCTCTACCTTTAGGTGCCTGTCAGTTTTAGAATTATTCACATTTTATCATGATTGCGTAGGCTACGGTATGTAAGGAAACAATCTATATAATGTAACTCATTAATGGTCTGCGATATTCACAAATGTAAACTTGGTAATTTTCTTGTGCTACACGCCTGCCCAAAAAAACTAACAAACCCAACAGGTGATATGCTGAGGTTGCAAGATATTCAGATTTTTTTTTCAGAATACTCTTCATGTCTCGGCCTAATAGAGTAGATTCGTCGAAGCCTTCGTCATCTCAAGTAGATCCCACGCCACTCCTTGGTGGTCCATACCGGGAGAACTGCAAGGTAAAACTTTTGGTGATAATCATTTTTGCATGAAAATGAATATCATCATCATAAGAGCCTCTATGGCCGCTCGGGGCGCATGTCACACAAGTGAAAGCGACAGTAAATATGGCATCTTGTTTCGTGTAGCTGTGGCTAACTAGTTACTTAGCAAAAAAATGGAACTGTGAAGTTGCACTGATTTGTTTCAGTTCAATAAATCGTTCAATCTACCGAACAACGTTGCACCGAGAGTCGCATTCCGAAAACCTAAGAATTCCAAAAGACGTGTGGACGATATCATATTTGTCAATTTACTCCAGCAAGTGCGTTTCATCGCTGAGCATTTTCAGCAGAACGAACGGGAAAGTGAGGTAAATGGAAAGCTTGATTCAAACCATAAAGTTCAGTAACTCTTCACGCTGTTGTGATTATGATGCCAACCACTTCTTCTGTTCCGTTCCTTAGACGGCATATGACGAAGCCGTTGCTTATTAGGTCTGAAAGTAGTTAGAGGTGATAGGGAGTGCACTACTCAAGGAAGGCCATAGGACCAGGGTCAGTCCTATCGTTGTTACTTTTTCAAAAATTTTTACGACCCCCAACGGTGAATTTTATACGTCCCCCTTCTCGACACCTCGACCACCATCATCGTCTTTATAGTATTTAATTCTGGTGCCACTCAACCCACGAACCCCGCCCACTTTTTCGGGAGGCGGGGGTATATACCCGCTATGAAACAGTAAAAATTTACCAAATTTCCCTAAATTTCAACCAATTTACCCCACTTCTACCTATAATCGCACCGCTTCATTTTCTAGGGGAGTATATACGCGCGCTAAAACGGCAAATTTTTTCCCATGCGCTCCCAACTCACCTAGCATTCTACTCGTGAAAACACCACTTTCACCACAAACTCACATGTACTTTCACGCGACTGAAGCGGATACGACCCCTTCTCCTATAAACTCAACCAGGTACGACCACCCCCCGTTGTTACTAGTAACAACGTAGGGTTGACCCTGCATAGGATTCGATAACGGATCTCTTTCTGTCGTTGATTCATTTTCGTTGAGCCACTGACCAAACCAGTTCGTTTATTACCAATAGCCGGTATTATGTCACCAAATATCATCCTTTCCTCGATAACGCATAATCTAGAAAAGCTAAAAGGTGTAGCTGTGCGATATGAAATACCCTTTCGAAATGTAGAACAAATTACGGTAGAGGAGGCGTGCCGTGAGTCGCCTCTTCTGGTCTGATCAGCGCCAGAGTTGAGATAGCTTACTGCGGCATTTCTCTCTCACTTTCTTGGTGTCCGGCCGCGTTTCTCAGACCGGTAATGGTGTCCCATTTCTCGGGTTCTGAGTCGTTTCTCATGGTTCTTTCTTCATCCCTGCATACTGACCACCTCCACCTTCTTTTCTAATGGGCTGCATTGTCATCGAAGACTCTGCCCTTAAGGTCACAGGACTTTAACGCAGATATCGTTTATTCGTAAGATACCGTTTAATAGAACGGCGGTCTCAATCCCCTTACAACCAAGGTCAACCGTCACGTTATACCAATTTCGAAAATTTTACGACACCCCTCCCCCTCTGGAGGGCTTCGATACGACCCCCAGGGCCAACTCCTCACGACTATCCTCCACCACCCTGGCCTGCCGGGGGGATTCTATAGTACTTGATTCTGAGATAAGTCGGCACAGCCCAAGTCCGCCCACTTTTCCTTCCAAAATTACCGTCGAGGTCGAGCGGGGGGAGGGGGGGGGGGGTATATGGAACGTGAAACGGCAAAATTTTCACACTCACGCTCAACCAAAAAGCCCAGCCTACAAGAACCCACTATCCGTTCATAAATGAACATCCCTTTCCTTACTGTAACATTGACGTTACCTCGCGAAATACGGCCCCTACTTCCCACCCCCAAATACGACCCCCCACCCCCTCGTTGGACGTTGTCTAACGGACGGTTGACCCTGCTTACAACAAAAGTATGGCTGCCTGTCGACAGATTGTGCTTGCTTATTGTGGCTTCATTAACAAAAACTAGGTCAAATATCCCACAAGCATTAAAATGAGAGCTGCTCACTCATTTTGCTTACTGGACGAAAGAAGTGGGTGGTATGTAGATGGACTTAACTGAACCAAATGGCATTAGTTGTCACAACTTCTGGGTTTATTATCACAAGTCAGTCTATTTCAGATCTCTGATGACTGGACGTTTGTCGCAATGGTGTTGGATCGGTTATTTCTACTTATATTCTCAGTGCTCAATGTGGGCACGATGTTCATCATATTAGAAGCCCCATCACTCTATGACTACTCCGACCCAATGAACGTCACTGTTCCCAACAAACCACTTGGACAAGCAAACCTTTTTGGTAGTCACTCCAAGTGTTTATGATACAGCCTGAAATATTGCTCGTTGAAATGTGTTATTCTCACTTGTGTTTGTGTATATATGAAATTTCTTGAATACTTCATGCTGGAACTTGCATGCATTCAAAATATAAGAGTAGGCCGTGAACCATTTTGAGCGACTGTTGTGTTGGGTATTCGCTGCTTCCTTCATGTAAATCACTGGGTGAATGCAAAATGCATAGGACACTGACCACGAGTGGGAAAAAAGCAGTTTCTGAATTGTTTCTCTGGACGTCAAATGAGAACAAAGATGACCGTTGCTGCACCGTGGGTTTTCTCACCTGCACTATGTACAGGTATGAAGGATTTGTTCCCATCGACGTGCAACTGACGTATTTCTACCCGCGGCGACTAGGCGACGTTGACGGCCCCAGCTTGGGTTGATGACAGCGACGACAGTCGACACATTTGGGTGTCCCCCAACAGGCCCACCGCGCGGCGAAGCAAGAGACGCAGATGCGGCAAAGAGACGAGTTGCAGCGCGTGCAGTGCGACATGGGACGTAGTATGGTACACTCTCTTTAACCTGACGCCTAACCGCTACAGTAAGCGCTGCGACTCGTCCCTTTGCCGCGTCTGCGTCTCTTGCTTCGCCGCGCGGTGGGCATGTGGGGTCATCCGACACATTTGAAAAACATTATAAACTTTGGATACAGGGACTAGGTCAAATCCCTGCGCACATGTCTACAGGGGTGGTCAAAGAAAAAGACACATTCAACCACTCATTCCAAACAGCTCTAATTACACTTCCAACTCAGATCGACTGCTCCCAACTTAATATTTAAGAGCACATCCCAATCTATCAGTATACCCTATAACAGCTTTCTGCACCAAGGACATCACAAGAATTTGCCATGGAAATCTTGTGCACGGTTCGAGTTCAACGTGGCCCTCGACGGATCATGGGTCATTGCGACGTTATCCAAACGGCTGGTTGGAAGAAGTCTTCTATATTCAGAGCAACTGTACTTAGGAAGCAATATATTAGTGATCTGATCGAGGAATTTCGTAGCTAAGGGTGGTACGATTACGGTGGGCCTTCTTGAGCACATCAGTGGTGGAAGATGAGGCAGGCTCCGGCTGAACGCCAAGAAGACCACGTTCCTGAGCTCTTGAGAGGGTACAGAGATTGTGGACGGGGGTGGGGAATGCATTGAAAGGGTGGAGAACTTCTAACTTGGGAGCGCTCTAGCTGCCGGCGGAAATGTGGATCAGGCAGTGCAGGCACGAACCAACGCGGCCTGGATGAAGTGTAGAGAATTCACAGGGATCCTCTGCGAACGAAGGTGCTCCAGAACGCTCAAAGGGAAGGTGTACCGGACAGTGGTAAGGCCTGCGATGCTATACGGCAGCGAGTGCTGGCCCCTGAACAAGGATCACGAAAGGCAGCTTCAGTCCACTGAGATGAGGATGCTGAGATGGGCCCGCGGCTGTACGCGATTGGACATTGTCAGGAACGAGGATATCAGAGCTGTTATGAAGACTGCTCCTGTCCAGCTGAAGGTGAGGGAACAACGACTGCGATGTTATGGGCACGTGTTGAGGAGGCCACAGGATCATCCGATAAGAGTAGCAATGAACTTCGAAGCACAAGGCAAGTGGCCGCGAAGAGCCCCAAAGAGGTGGAGAGACGTCATCAAGAAGGATCTCACTGAAGTCGTGGCCACCGCATAGGATGCCCTGTATAGAACAACATGGCGACGGCAGACAAAGGCATCGGTCCCTGCGACTGCGTGGGACTAACGCTAGGGAGAAGAAAAAGAAGAGCTTGCTTTGGACGTGAGATCTTATAGGTCCTCTCACTTCTTGAAGTATAGGTTGAAGATACAACCCAGGCAGAGGTCATGTGATCGTTCCCATTGGATCTGTAGTATTGAAGACTAGAGGGTAACCACAAATATGGCGTTCCCGTGCACGGAAACCAACCGACAAGAGCGTTTGGGCCTTGCAAGGTAAGCTGCTGAAGTTGTAGATTTTTTCTTTTATCAGGCTGCTGTCTTGCGCCCTCTCATCTGCAGCGCTCTCTCTCGTCTGATACTCTCCTCGGCGCGCCTAGTCTCTCAATGCCTTAGCACAGCCGACAACGAAGGCGAGTAACCCCTGAACATGAGCGTTTAGACGGATTATTTTTCTTTTTTCTCACTGTCGGTCCATTTTGCGCCATTACATTCGCAGTCGTGTGCAAGAACCACGCCAAAGTGACCCTGGGGCATGCCTTTGAGCAGAGCAGCATCGACGGTAGTGTAACCGCAAACATGATTTCTATAAGAGGAATTTCGGTAGGGACAAATTAAAGGGGAAGCCCTTTTGTATAAGCTATTTCTCTCTAGGCAGCGCAAGTTGCCATTATTTCACACTTTCAAGCTCTCGTTCCTCGTAAAAGAACAGCTGGGCGTATCGCAAGATGCGGGGGCATTCCGTTGGCAGTACACTGCGAACGCGTGGCACATCTGCCTTTTGTTGAAATCGGGACTGAGGAATCTAATAAGCGGTCTTCATTTCCCCCGAAGTTGCGGCCCCCTCCTGGCTCAGTCCTACAGGATGCCTCCTGTATCATGCGAAAGAACCAACAGCTGGTCCTTTGTGACTGACACACGCAACTACGAACAAACATAAATTTCATGCTACTCCAACGATCTGCGCTGTTTAGCATCTCTTGGCAATGCAATGAATAGGACGCTAGTGGTGTAAGCCGTGCATTTTGAGCCCAAAAAAGCTATCGCAATAAATGTGAATAGCGCTGCAATACCACTGATGGTAAGATCTCTAGACAAAAACAGGGTTCTTGAGCCATACTAAGAGCACTAGCAGCTCAGATGTGAGGACAGCCTTTGCAAAAAACATTTTTTCACCTGAACAAATTGGGGATTACGTGGTGCACCACACAGCAATATGGTCGAGAATCATTCCGCTAGTTACTCAACATTTTCCTCACAGTTTTTTCTAATATGTATTTATACATTTCGGAATCGGAAAAAGAATAGTCTTGGCATTTTCCACCAACTACTGGTAGGATGTCAAGTGATCACGAGAGAAAGCATGAAAAGATACGGAAATACAGGTAGGATAGCAGTTTACAATGAGCAACACATTCGGATACCAAGCATGGGCCTACGAAAAATATCATGACAAGGAATTTTCGCTGTGGTCAAATTTTCTAGGAGTGTACTAAATATTTAGGTATTTAAATGCCATAAGGCTACTATTATAGCAACTTAAGATAGTTTCTACCACACTCGAAGGAATTTACCAAATTACATCCATGAATTTGGAATGAGCGTTGTTTGACAAGTTGCAATTTTGATCTTTTATCGGTTCCTCAAAAATAGTTCTACATCGATTTCCCGCCAAAACAAGACTGACGGTTTAGGAGTTCCATAGATATTTATGTTTTTGCTGCTATTCTTAACTCAGAACATTCATTTTTAGTTCTAATTTTCTGACTTGATTGGTTTGTGGTGTTGATGTTAATGACTTTGTACAGCATCCTGCTCTTAGAAGGAGCGGTGGCTAGCAGTCAAGTTATACTGTATTTCGTACTCCGTAGTGGTAAGATATTTCATGGATGCCTCAAGGCTAATTTCCCACACTGAGCATGAAATCACCGCAAAGGATTCATATGAGACTTGCAAAATCGGAAGTTTATTAAAGAGGTAGGAATTTTATTTTCTCTGCAAAATTCAGAAATCAGTTCACTTCGTTTTCAGGAGGACTCCAAAAAGTCGTCTTCCAGTGATTTCAACAGGTTTCCCACGTAGATTTATGCTGTATTTTTAATGAATTGGTAGATCCGACCAGACAAATATATTTATAGGAATTCCGAGAGATTTAGTTTCGAGAAATGACTGGAAAAACGCGAGTCCCCCTTGTGTTCCACTGAGTACTGTGCGTTCTACGTTTACATTCTAGACCTGGTGCAATGCTAGTCGGGTAGGGGGAGGGAAGACGCTGATTCTTTGAGTGCGGCAGACGCGATACATACGCTGGTGTTCACTACTGCTATGATACTTTACGGGGATAAATCGCACATTCCATCTTTTAATGCATGTCAAGTGACTCGCTTTACCCCCCCCCCCCGCTTCCCCGACTTGGCTACAATTGGTTTAGGAATGTGCTCCCTCCCCTTAAAGCTCAGTCTAGTGGCTCTCATGAAGTAATCGGCACCAGTCTCCACGTACACAAACTTCGCAACCGTATTCGAAATTCGGCGTGCCCACTCGACAAGCATTGCACCTTAGATTGCTATTCTTATTACGTTGCGCTTGCTCAAGCTGACACTTCTCTTTCTAGGCACTTGAACCGTCTTTAGAGGTTGCGAGACGAGACAGCACTTCCGATATCTTGAGGTGCAGCAGAATTGATTGACGTCACCAATTTAGTGCTAAAACGATGTTTAGTTGTTTTAGCCCATCACGGTATAAGTCACCACGCCATTTCGTCTCCAACAAGGTGGTACTCGAATTACGCTCGAATTTGCAATCTGGACGCAAAAGCAGTTGCAGTACTGGTGATGAGATCGCGTGCGATTTTTTAATGTCGGAATAATTTATCAGCTGATGTTAGGCCAATATCTGAATAGTACTGAATTTGTTCAGCGCTGGTTGCGACGCAAAACCGGATGTGCCTGCACCGTGTCAACGACCATCTGTTAAGTTGAATCGTGCTCCTAGTTACACTGGCAATCTCATGGGCATACGCGATGAAAACGTCTTCATCAAAGACGATGCAAGTGACATTGTATTCAGCTTTTATAAGGCAAAATGTGCTCGCGGCTCCATGCGTTGGGCTTACACACGTCAATATTATCGTCCAGTGATTTTAAATCGTTTCATGTGCCAACACTCAGTGCCATTGCCAGCGTGTGCAGCAGTCCTTGCCATGGGCCGACGCCAGACTTTGCGAATCGCGCAATTCGCTAGCGTCCGCGGTCGCGTTGCGGTACCAGCCAATTGGGTGATTCATCAGCCGCGACGCGACCGCAGACGCTAGCGAATCGCGCGATCCGCGAAGTCTGACATCGGCCATAGGGAGATCGTCTCTAATTCACCGGGATTGGGGTAAGAGTGGTCACATGTGTGCTCTGAACACGCGATGTTCTTTTGGTGGTGGAAAGCGGAGCAAAGACTATAGAGTAAAACTGACGAGAAAACGAGGCAAAATGCCCAGTTGTCAGGGCCAGTCCACAAGCGCTCGTCTCTATAGACGTGCACAGACATTCGCAAAGCACATCAGCTGAAACTGTGCTATAGTCTACCCTGCTTAATGTTAGTGTGACTAAAGCACAAGCAAGCAAACTTGGACCAGAAAGCTGCCGTGTACACAGTACTTCTGAAGGAAGATTTCGAGTAGAGGCCCAGTGTGAGACGGCGTAACGAGGGAATACATATGTGGCGCGGCCCGCTCCCTACTGGGGGACTTGGGGGCAGGGTCAACCCTATGTTGCTACAAGTAGCAACGGGGGTCGTATTTTGATGAGCTTGAAGAGGGGGGTCGTACTTGCTTCGATTGTAAGAAGTTGCATGTGATCAGTGGGGAGCGGTGCGGGAGAAAATTTGCCGTTTCAGCCCGCGTATATACCCCCTAGAAAATGGAGTAGTGGAAATATGGGTAAAATACATGGGAATACACAGAAATTGTAGGAAGATGGTGGGGATTTTTTGCGGTTTTATGGTAAGTATATACTCCCTCCCCCCTCCCCCCTCTCGCCCCCCGCTCGACAGTAATTTTTTAGGGTAAAAATTGTTTTGAAAGAGGGGGTCGTATGAAACATTCCATGAGGGGGGGGGTCGTAAAAACTTTTTGAAAAGTAGCAACGATAGGACCGACCCTGCTCGGGGGTACCCGACGCGAGGCCCGTCGCGCAGCGAGTAGGCAGAGACGCAGACGTGACAACGGGCGATTCGCACGGTGCGCTGCAGCGACTTACCGTCTAGTCAATGGAATGGGTCCCTCAATGCATAGTTCTCGGTATGACTCATCCACTAATCCGGGTTTGCGGATTACTTGATTTTTACTCAATGAGCCTGCCGCGACGGCTAGAGCACAGACGATCAGAGAACGGGTGACTGCCGTAGGACAAAGCCTTGTAGAGGAGAGGGGCCCGCGAGGGAGCGCAGAGGCGGTTTGAAGGGTTGAGTTCATGTAGTCCGTCGACCCGCTGTTTCGTCTCCGTCTCTGCCTTCTTGCCGCGCTACGGGTCTCCTATCGACGCCCTAGGACTCGAAGTGTTTGGTTGGTGATGAGAGATCGCGGCGGTGGCGAGAGAAAGTAGAGAGGCCAGAGCAGCCACGTTCACGTCGATGGTATGGTCTACCGTTGTACCTTGTCCAGGGGCCGTAAGGTATGCTTCCTCGAATGGTTGCGGGGACGAAAGTCCCTTTAAATTTTTTGTTTTGAACGATACTGTTCCTTTATTTTCAATGCATGCTTACTTTAAGCTACACACATATATTAGATGTGGGCCCTTTATCAGGACAATCCCAGTTGGGACTAAGAGAAAATTTAAAGGAACTTTCGTCCTCTAACCCTTCGGGGAAGCATACCTTACGGCCCCAGAGCGGAGGCTTAGGCCTAATTTGCGGCGGTTTTGAGCCTTTTCTCTCTTCTGCCGTCCGGTGTACCTTAACGCACTTCCACTTTCACCTGCGTAGGGCAACAGTTCTTTCCCCCTTTAAGACATTTCAATAGTAGCTCGCATCACTCTATGCCCGACTAGGTGTATCGGTTTGGTAACAAACTTCGAGTCACATTGTTTTGAGTCGAAAGAGCTATTTTCAAAAGTGGTTGAGTGAAATGCAGACTACCTAACTTACCTCATATTTTGCTTATCCTCCATGCTTCTTTGATTTTAGCCGTGTGCAGGTTCATTTTTTATTACTCCCATGTGTTGAAGTTGAGTTGATAATCCCTTTCTTAGGCACTGCCAGCTGATTGCACAGGGCAGGATCTGCTCAACGATTCATATTCCTCTTCTGCTCAAAATAATTTAGCAGCTCTGCCAAAAAGTAGGTTCAAATTTTGTCTACCTGTTTGTATTTATAAAAACTCAGTATTTTAATTGAAGAAACGTCCAATCCACCTACAAAGACAGTGCTGCAATTTTGTGAGCCTGGGTTACGCCGCCGTAATACCAACGACACCCTTAATTTGACGGAAGATCAACGACAGCGTCTTCCTTACACTAGACGTTTCTCGGCAAATCGAGCTGGTACAGGGTTACCTATTCTCAGCCGTCTTGTCGAAGGCGAGCGTACTCCTGGATTCGATGCTGACGGTCGCCCAGATCAATTACCGCGCTTCGTACTTCCTCCATTGCCGTGAGTATTTCATGGAAGCTCTTCCATAGGTAGATTACGCTCGGTTGTGACGACTTTTGTTCAGACTTGGTCTTCGTCCGCCCAGTCCTGAGCCACGCAGCTTACTGTTGAATGCACCGAAGAAGGTATCATGGTTTAAGTAGCCATTACAAATTTTTGATGGAAAGTCACTCTGCAGGGACACCTTATCCGCCTTCTTCCTTTCTTTTCCTGGTCTCTCTTGCCTTTTTCGTTTCAGCGAGAAGCAAAAAACGTTGTGAGACGTTGTTTGGGCTCGAAAAATCACAACACTCGCTTGTCGGTATTGAACTACTGCAATCTGTTGAGGCAAAGTGGGGCAAAAGAATGTTTTCCGCTGACACGCTCATTAAGGTTTGCTGGCGGTCCGGGTCACGATTGTCAAAGGCACGGTAGCGATTAGGTCCTTTAAGAATCTCTGTCCTCAAATGATGTAGCAGGAACCTCAATTACAGGAGTGGTTATGCTTCCACAACTCCAAAGTGCGCCACAAGCAAGCTAATGCCCTCGCTTGACCGCTTTGACCGCTGCTATTCTGGCTAATCGTAGCTTACTTGCCATCTGCGCCCTCTCGCGTACGACGTGCTCTCTCCCGTTTCTCCTTACCGCGCCGGTCCGCGACGTACCATGGTCGACCTCACAAGGCAATTTCAATGTTTTTGGAGTGCTTTTTGTTTTCCTCCCACGTTCCTGTGCAATCTTCGCCTAATTTTTAAACACAACAACAAACAAATGCGACCTGTGCCTGTGAAATTGAGGGCACTCTTTCCCCAAGTTTGGCTCTACTCAACGTTTTTTGATGCGTGGTAAGGAAATCGCGGTGCTGAACTGAGGGGGGGGGGGTGTCCCCCAAGGGGCCCATTGCGCGGCGAAGGAAGAGGCGCAGACGCAGCAGTGGACGAGTCCCAGCGCGTGCTGTGTGATATGACACGTAGTATGGTACATACTATTTAACCTGACGCTTAACCGCCACAGTATGCGCTGCGACTCGTTCTTTGCCGCGTCTGCGCCTCTTCCGTGGCCGCGCGATAGGCCTCTTTGGGGACATCCCTGAAACTGCCAAAAGCGAAGATGAAAGACGCCTCAAAAGAGACTATCGAAAGTATTTTCACAAAATTGGACCTCACAAAATTTTTGTGAGAAAAAGGCATGACAAAAGCTGCTGTCAAATGGCGTCGGAGTTTAATTGAAACGGCCGACATATTGGTGATCGTGACGTCAGTGAACCTTGTAGGAAAGGTATCAATGGAAATGGTTCCTTTGCCACGCTTCTTTCCACTTGAGGATTGTAATATAATTGTTCAACATTTTTCGAGATCTTTCCTTATATTCTGTGAATTTTGTAACACGTTAACGTTCTTTTCAGCGAAGGTTTCGTACCTCCAGTAGCGATTCGAATATGTTCGATTTTTCGTGCTTGAACCGACTTTTGAGTACTTATGAAACCACCAGGTAAGATGTGTTTACATTTTATTGGATGTTCAGCAAACGATTTCCCCCATTTCATGGTTTTTAGCCACCGCCCAACCAAGCGTCCTATATGTCGCGTCCTGAGATTTGCAGAGTAGCTCGCTACGGTGAAGATTTGCTACAGCTGTACAGTCCTTCTGTAGATCACCTGTAGATATTTATTGATGGATTTTTCTAATTGAAAACCAAAAAGATACTCTCTTCAGCCACTTGTGTTCTAGGGGACCACGTTAAGGTCTTCTGATACTGAAGTAGCTAAAGGAGAGTATATAAATAGATGCCGTTTTTGTTTATTCGTCGTTGTGTTTTGTCCGTTGTTCAGAAATCTGTGGAAATCGTTACGTTTTAAAGAATAATATTTCTTCTATCCTGTGAATAAAGCTCATAGTTTTATGGTTTTGAGAGACACTTTTCAAATTGCTTTTTTGAACATTTTGTTGATACTAAGTTTGAGGAGGTCAACAGATCGGTCTCGTACTCAGATAATGCGTAAACCGCGGCTGAACTTGGGTGCCTTAAAGGAATCTTCCGCGAAAAAGCTCCGCCTCCATCACCACAGAAAAACTATACCCCTTAGGGCCCTGGCCTCATGAACATAGCAAAAAAAAACGGAACATAAGCGTTAGTTTCGATAATACTAATCCTACACACAAGACAAAATGATCACTCTTCCCGTGGAAGATTCCTTTAAGGTATCGTTTTCTGTGGTAATGAGGGCGGAGCGCTTCAGTGGAAGATTCCTTTAACTTAATGCTGTAGTTCATGTTCGCTTTTTTAGGCATGAGCTGGTGAGATCCACTTACTAGAAGCACGGGCCGCAATTAGGTCCTTAGATAAATTCTCTTCTTAAGTGGGACAGCAAGATCCCTATTCACAAGTGTGGTGGTACTGTCGCCGCTTGAAAGGGTGCGAAAACACTAATGC